CGAGCGGACCCCTCTTTCTTGACCTGGACGGACCCGCGCAGTGCCGAGGTTGTGCAGCTTCGTGTGGGCTGGGATCAGCCCCAGCCGATTCGGCATCGCTCGTATGCGCTGGGGCAGTGCTGGCAGATCATGCTCGACGCCCTGAAGGAGCAGTGCCTCTGGCTCGAGTCGATGAAGTTAGGGTCGAACCCGTTCACTGGACACTTGCACCTTTACAATTCGGCTAACGAGGAGGTGTGGGACCTGGTGAAGATCTCGGAGGATGCCCAGGGCACGTTCATCATTGTGCCGCTGGAAGACTGCCACGTCGTCGGCCTCTCGAAGGAGTTCATCGACAGCCTAGCGGAGCGTGTGTCTGCGCTAGTGGCCAAGCGGCGCTAGGACGTAGTCATGAGCGACGCGCCGGGCAACCGGGGCAACCGTGGGAACACCACCAGCATCTACGTTACTGGGCGACGAGCTGCGGGTGCAGCTAGTGGGTGTCGTGCAGTGAAGCGCAGGCGCTGTGTGCCGCCTCTGCCGCCGTCTTCCCCCTCCTCCTCCTCCTCCTCCTCCTCCTCTTCCTCTGTGGGCCCCGATCGGCTGGAGGCTGTGTATCCCATTTTTGGAGCCCCCATAATTCGTTCTGATCGCTCGCCATTTAGAGTTCTGAATTCGTTCGGGGTGGTCTCGTGGAATACGCAAGCTCTGTTAGGTAGTATTTGGGCCAATCATAGGCGTCAGAGTCAGAAGTATAGCAAGTTCCGATCTTTGATTGAGAGGTTTGATATAGTAAACACGCAGGAGACTCATGGGACGCCCCAAGACCTGAATGCTCTCCGACGCGATTTCCGTTCTCATATCCACTTAGGCTCCTTCTGTAGTTCTCATTCTGCTGGCGGTGTCATTACTTCCATCTCGAAGGCCTTCCTGAAGAATTTCAGAGCTGCTCGGGTCTCAGAGGTCGCTAGAGGCAGGATTCTGGTGGTGAAGCTCTTCGGGGAGTTCGGGAACCTGAATATAGCAAACGTTCATATTGATCCTGGTATTTCTGTTCGTGCTGTCCATAGTGTTCTAGGACGGCTTCGCCGATCTCTTCCAGCTTTGGGTGCTGGGCTCTCGTGTTTGGCAGGGGACTGGAATTTCCCTGAAGCCGACGAGTTCCGACAGGCCACGGACGGGTCAGTTTCCTTGCCGCGGGAGGATGACCTTCTGCGCTCCCGTTTCGCCAGCCTGTTCGGCGACTTCGTGGAAGTTCCGCAGCTAGAGGCCACTCATAGGGCTGTTGCAGGAGATATTGTTCTCAGTGTCTGTAGATTGGATCGAGTCTACTGGTCTGCTCCCACGGCTGAAATCCTGGATTGGAAACCTCGTTCGAATGTGATCGGTATGGCCCACAATCGTTCTGAGTGCTCGGACCACATCCCGATTTTCGTGCAGACGTCTCCTGGGGCCCCCTCTACTCCTACCTTGCCGCGGTGGATTACCGAACATCCTGACTTCGGGGAGACTGTGGAAACGATCCTGCAGGAGTGTGGGGTCAGTTCTGACCCGTTTGAGGCCTTGCTGGAGTGCAAGGCCGCCATGTTCGCTGCGAAGGATGAGCTGACTCGTCGGATGTTTCGTGCAGGTCCCCGTACAGGTCGAGAAAAAATAGCGGTATGTCTCAGGCTTCTGCGCGCTGCCCGTACTGGTCACCACGCTATGATCATGCGCTGCCAACACGCTCTGCCTGAACTTAGTCGGTTTTATTGCTTCGAGAATCTTGGGTATACTGATTATCTCGGGTTTCATGAATATATTCGGGAGCTGAACTCTACGATGATTAATGATATGATCCACACTGAGTGTACGGACTCTCTTGGGAGAATCGATGAGGCTCGTCGTGCCAGGCTCCAAGCTATATGTCGGTCGTGGTCGGTAAAACGTCGGAAGCTTGCGATCTTCTCGGTGGCTGACCCAGTGGACGAGGCCCCCGCCAGTATCGAACAGAGTGCCCGCAACCTAGCTAACTTTTGGGGTGAAGTTCATCGGTGTCCTGGTGTTCTCCCTGAGCCTGATCCTGCGGTGCTTGCTGCCCTTCGGAGTGAGATTCAATCGGTCTCTCCTGGTATCCAATGGGAACTCATGGAACATGAGTTTCGCTCTATCGTTGTTCACCGTAAAGACTCTGCTGCAGGACCTGACGGGGTGCCATATAGCGGGTGGAAAAACGGGGGGGAAACCGTTTTGTCGGCCCTGTATGCGGCCTATCGTGCTCTACTTCGTGGAGCCCGCCCACCTTCTGGATTCAACTTCGGTCAGCTCGTGTTCCCTCCCAAGGTTGAAGTGAGCGATTCTGGTCCTAGGACTGTTCTCGAGGCCCGTCAGACTAGGACCCTCACTCTGAGCAACACAGACAACAAGCTCGTCTCCGCTGCCCTGGCCGACCCGTTCCAGATCCAGGCCAGGTTCTCCGTGGCGGAGTGCCAGCGCGGGTTCATCAAGAAACGTAATATGCTTGATAACGTGATTGAGTTGGAGTCCTGGGTTCTGGAGTGGGCCTGCCATCGGGGCCTCGAGTTCCCAGGGTTCATGCTCCTGGACATCGCCGCTGCGTTCCCGAGTGTGTTGCACTCCTGGATCTTCGGGGTCTTGGAAGCCATGGGCGTTCCCAGGCACATCGTTCGTGCGGTCAGATCATTGTACGACGACATATATGTTGACATTTTGTTCGCTGGCTCAAGATTCTCTGGCTTCACTGTCACCCGAGGAATGAAGCAAGGATGCCCACTCTCAGCTTTGATATTCGTGATAATCTTCGATCCAGTCGTTCGAGGCCTACAACGGCGACTCCGCCCGCACCCTGGGCTCCCTCTTGCGTGTGCTGACGACATCGGCATTGCGACGGGAAGCCTTCGCCTTACTATACCTATGGTTCTGACCTGGATGGGCGACACTGGCATCGTCACAGGCCTGAAGCTCCACACGGGGAAATGTTGGGTGGTCATCGCGCTCGACATGGACATTGAGATGGCCAAGCAGCGGTTGCGCGACCTTGACATCCCCGTGGACGCGGTACGGATTGGCCCCCACGCTAAGTACTTGGGCGTATTTCTTGGCCCAGAGGGTTGTGCTGAATCATGGCGTGCCCCCTGTCGTAAGCTCCTGGAACGAGTAGCCCATATCAGAGAGCTGAAATTATCCCTGGCGCAGAATATTCGCGCGTACAACATGCTGGCGCACCCTGTCTTGTCCCATATCTGCCAGTTCTACATGGCCGACACCAGAGTGTATGACACTGAACACGTTGCCCTTCAGCGACTGACTGCTGCTCCGCGGCATTCGATATCGACGGCATTACTAAAGAACCTGGGCTCTTTGGGATTCGATTCGGTACCTCGAGACATTTCATGTGAAAATAGGGCCGCGTTGTTCCGTGCCGCTTTGAGAAGTTCCGTTTTCCCTAGTATAGCTGCCAGATTTCACAGTATCTCTGAATATGATTGCGATGTCTTGGCTGTGACACGAATGAAGAATTGGTTGAACGGCTCGGTTACCATGACCTGGATTGTGAATTTCACCCAGTTGTCTGCGATTGCACCCCGACTGGCGGACCCAGATTGTGATGATGTGCAGAAAAAGATGTCGTCCTTGTTGAGATCACGTTCCCCTGGCCAGCCTGTCCCTCCCCTGCTGCACCGTCGTATCCTGTATTTTTGGCCAGATGCTCCGGAGAAGGTGGCCGATCGGATGTTCTTGCTGATCAATATGCTAACGAAGAAGGTGGGCCCGTTCGCTTCCACCTCCCTGATCAAGAGTGTGTGTAACGCGTGGCCGACCACGAGGCGATTTCGAAATGGAACTATGTGCTGCAGGTTCGGCTGTATGGCGATGTTCGGGGATGCGGTCGACCACTATCTCCACTGCCCTGCTGCTCTTGAAGTGCTGAAGGACGCCCTTCCCTCTCTCCCCTCTTCGTACAGAGCATGGTCTAGGGTTCAACATTTCTTTATCCACGAGACCCCCCCCATAAATAGTAATGAGCTTTTATCGGCCCTCCTGGTCCATGACGTTTTACTGTCTGCGTACAATACCCTGAGGTCCCAGGACCGTTTCGGGCCGGACTGTCTCCTGTCTCTCTTTAGGTCTAGGGTTCGTGTCATCGCCCGCAGACATGCGGGAGCGCGGGCTGCTCTCACGTCCAGAGGACGGTGATCGAGGCCCGACCCCCAGCTGCCGCCGCCTGCTGCCGCCCCAGTCGGACCTGGTCTGCGGTTTGCCCTCGTCTCGTCTCTTTCTTGTCCGCCTGCCCTCTTCTCGTCGGTCAGCCTGTGCGCTCCTCCTCCCTCCCCTCCCTCCCACTACTCCTTCCTCGTCCCTGATACTCCTCTCCCACTGCTCCGTACTCCTCCCTACCACTCCTGCCTACTCTCTTTTCCCCCTGCTATTCCTTCCTACTACTCCTTCCTCGTCCCTCCTGCTACTCCTCCTCTTCCCTACTCCCCCTACTATTTCTTCGTCCTCCTCAACCCCCTGCTCCTCATCCTACTTAGTTCCCCCTCCCGCCTCAGACCCCTTCAAGTCGTGAACAAAAACACGATGGGAGGTTGTTGGACGTGGGGCCGTCGCCTTGCCCCTGGACTGTCAAAACGATTCGTGATGAACAACTGGTTCCACGGCAGAGATCGGCTCTCCCTCCTTCTTTCGGAGAAAACAATCGACGTAAACATGAACCTGTGGAGCTCTGCGCGGGCGTCCTGGGCCAGACGAGGCGGTCCAGCGCCGATCCAAGCAGTCCGAGCGGACCTCCGAACATGTATGTCTCGGCCGTTTGTCGCTCCTCCTCCCTCCCTCTTGCCCTTCCTCCACCCTCTCTGTCCTCAATTCCCTGCTCGTCATTCTCCCTTCCTCGGCGGCGCGCCCAAGAGGGAGGGCAGAGGGGCCGGGCCTCTCCAGAAGGCTCAGGAGGCCTTCAGCTCCCTGATCCGTCTTGAAAGCTCTTTCTCCGAGGCCACAGAAGGGGCTGCGCAGAAACTCCGCCGCCCTGTGAGAAGGCCTGTCCCCTCTCACTGATCCCCCTTGGCGCACCGCCGACTCTCTTTGGTCCTCCTCCTGCCCTCCTCCCTGCAGGCCCCAGGGCTGCCCCCGCCTCCCAGGACCTTCTCCCAGGGCCTCCTTCCAGGACCTCCTCCTAGGACCTCCTCCTAGGACCTCCTCCTAGGACCTTCTCACAGGACCTCCTCCTGGGACCTCCTCTTCCTAGGACCTACTCCTAGGACCTCCTCCGGGGACCGCCTAGGATCTCCTCCTAGAATCTCTTCCCAGGACCTGCTAGGACCTCCTAGGACCTCCTCCTCCTGGGTCCTAGGAGGTCCTAGGGCCTCCTAGGTCCTCCTCCTGGAATCTCCTCCTGGGACCTCCTCCCAGGACCTCCGCCCAGGACCTTCTCCTGGGACCTCCTCCTAGGACCTCCTCCCAGGACGTCCTCCTCCTGCCCCCCCCCCCCGCCGCACAGGCACCATGGACAGCGTCCGCGCCGGGCCCTTCGGTCAGCTCTTCCGCCCGGACAATCCCAGAGGGGCTGTCCGCCGCCGGCCGCCCGCCCGCCGGCCCCAGGGGCGGCAAGCAAGGTGGCCAGATCTCGGCCAAGCGCAACGGGGGGTGTGGGGCGGGAGGAGGGCAGCCCTCCTCCCTCCTCCCTCCCTCCCGCGCCTTCTAAGGAACAGGGATGCTTCTAAGAAGCCCTCGGAGGGCTTCTTAGAAGCATCCCTGCTCCTTAGAAGGCGCGGGCCTCGTCTGCAGATGCAGGGCCGGCGCCTATCAGAAGCAGCCTCCTTCTAAGAAGCTTGCCGCCGCCAGATATCCCCGACAGCGCCTCGGCACCGCGAACGTCGACGGAGGATGCGCCGTCTCACGGCCCACCGGACGCGGCACGTGCAGATCCATGAGTTTCCCTGGATTTGAGCCTCCTGGGCCAAAACTGGCCCCGGGGAAGGGGTCGGGACCTTTCTTCTGCGGCCTCGTACTGAGCAGTCAAGTCATGTCGTCGGATGTTTGGGTACGCGTGTCTATGGGCCTTCCTCAGCTGATCTAGGATGCGTGGCTTCGCTAAATCGTGGGTCATCTTGGTGCATCCAGATACCACCTTGGGGCCTCGTCAGGGCCCGTCTTGCGGGATGGTCATCTTGGGGCCTGAGGGATTATCTTTGGGTCATCTCGGGGCCTTGTTGAGAAGCGTTAGGAGCTTAATATGGCCTCTGGGGATGACATTGGGGCCATCTTGACCGATCTTGTTGCCATCTTTAGGCTCTTGGGGGTTCTCCTGAAACCACCTTCGGGCCCAGGGAATCAGCAAAATGATAGTCAATAAACGTACGGAGCAACTTTTGTCGGACAGGTTTGTTTCTGGCCTAAGCCCTGGGAGGCCTCGGGCAGTCTCATCTCAGGTGACTACGGCCATGATGCCGACGTCGGGGCTGCGGGCCGTGTTTGGTGTTGCGCTTTGACAACATATTGTTTCGGTCATTCCAGTGCTAGCTTGAATTCATCGCGTCATACGTGGCTGCCGTCTGAGAGGGGTGTGCGTAAGAAGTCTTTTCTTGCTTGCGTCACTGCGGCCTGTACCCCCGTCCAGGGCTGCTGTTCTGTTCGGGACTCGGTGGCCCTGGAACAGGGCCGGCGGTTTTCGTGTTCGGCCAGACTGGCGCGGGGAACAATTGGGCAAAAGTGGCTGGCTGCTAAACACCTGACACTGACCCAGACCTTGCAAGATGAGAAGGATAAGGAGGGGGAGGGAGAATGGTAGCATGTGGAACAGAGGAGCCCCTTTTCGAGCGAAGTAATTCTCCATCAAAGTGCTTGAAATAGGGGAGAGCGGGAGAGGCAGCAGATGATAACCAGAAGAACGGACAGCCTCTGGCACCGTCATTTTGTATTGGCAGTGCGTCACCCTGTCTTCTCTGAGCCTGGAGCCGTTATTGTAGCTCCCTCAGGGGTAGTGACTGGGGTAGAGTGGCTCAGGGGGGGAAGGATCGACCTCCAATCGCCCACTCCTCGCCGATATTCGCCCGATAGCTCCATCCCTCCCAGGAGTGTGCGGATTCACAATCGGGGGCCTATCACGGATCAATCGGCGATGTATCGCTAATACCAGGCCAATGTTTCCGCCCTTGAGCCAGTCCCCCAGTATCGTTTTCCCTCGAGGAGGCGTGCCAGTCGGGGAAGAGGAAACGGCAAAACAGAAACTTTCGGAGGTCCGCGTGGATTTCATGTATCGGCGCTAGAACACCCTGCCGCCGCTTCTGGCGCCGCCCCCTGGCGCGCGCGCTCCGCTCGCCAGGGAGAAGGTCAAGCGCCGATCCAAGACATCCTGGTCGTGATGGAAAGGAGGCGTGCCAGTCGAAGAGAAGAGAACACGGTATGAACACCATCTTTCGGAGGCTTGCGCTGACTTCTTGGGGTCGGCGCCTGGCACTCCTGGCTGCTTCTGGCGCCGCCCCTGGCGCGCTCCGCGCGCCAGGGATGGGGGGATCCAGCAGC